GACATGTTTATGCGTTACGTTGGAATGAACACGTAAAAGGAGGGCGTATCTTCCTTTTGATTAGCTTTTTACGAGCCAGGTAGTATTTTTTTTTTTTTTTTTTTTAAATGATGTTTTTCCGGATCAAAAATTTGTAAAAAAAAAATTACAATAATTTGAAAATTTATGCGACTTTCTATCGTAGATAAAGAAAATGTTTTTTCATTAAACTCATCGTGATTTGATTTTTTCTGTCTTACCAGGAAACACAAACAAATGCGATTTAATTAAGTTCTTTTTTCTTATAACGAAATCTTCCTGCTTTCAATAATTTTTTTTAACATAAAATAGTATATATTTTATTAAAAAAAAAAAAAAGAAATTAAAAATATGATCTATGGTAGTATTATTTTCCTGTAATCATTTGAGAGAATGTCGTGCGAATTTGGCGTGTCAGTGAAAAACTCGTTAAACATTTCTACGAATAATTTAATACTTATTTTAGGCATAGTCATAAACGAATTTTTAGACACTATTAGAGATAAGTTTGACGTAGGATTTAGGTCAATTACCATGAGTTTTATCGCGAATTATGATCGTCCCCCACGTTGAATGAAGACGCCCAACCAATGGTCTGATAGCTAGATTGTGCAATTACACTTTATTGCTTAGGTACTTGTTTCATTCTGTTAATATTACTATATAAAATTCTCTCATAATCTAGGCATACATTTTGTGTGTGCGTGTATGCGTGTTTCTCATTTCTATGTTATGATGTCCTAGGAATGAGTATAGTATTGCTTGCTATGCAACAAGTTATGCATCATTGTAATTGTCCCGCAAGTCGTTTATGCCAAGGCCGAGCCGCGCCTCGCCTGCGGCTCGCGACACTATTATATTCCATGGTGTATGAATTTAAAGAAGTACATGTATACATGTATCGATTAGGCGAATGAAACCTAACGGAGAATCTAACGAAAACAAATTTAATTTCGAGTTAATCAAATTATCGATAATACACAAAGAGATCGTATTATATTTTTCAAAATAATATGTTTATGTCAAGAATTATCAAAACTTATTGTACTTTTTTTTTTTCTTGTCAGAACATTGTTATTACTTTTCACAAGACAATTGTAAATGGGAAAAAGGTAAATGAATTTAGTTAGAGATAAAAGCGTGAGATTGCGAACGGTCAGTTGTATTATCTTTTTCAAGTAGACTTTCTAAAGCTGTTATCTTATATTATTATATATATTTTTTTTTTCATCCTTTTTTTTCATAGACGTATTGTTAACATTTTTTAAATGTACAAGTAAAGATTATTTATGTTTAGGTTATATTTATAAAATTTCTTCGTTCAATATGTCGATTTTTTACAGCTATATATATATATGTATGTATAGTATACGTTTGGCAGGAAGCCAATATAAATGAAGAAACACGAGCAAAAAATGATTATGACTTTGGCAAATGTAAATATGTACTTTTTACGACTATCTAACTATTTTTTTTTTTTTTGAAAGCAGCGACGGGTTACACAAGAAATTCTTAGAATTCGTGTTTGGTATGATAAGACACACCTTTCCTCTTCCTTTCGTACATTTCTTTCGAACTTCGTTGATAAAAGAAAATATTTGAACGTCAGTAATAATCCTTCTAGATTATAGATTCTCACATTCATTCATATATTGCGAAGGAAATGACCGACCCCGTTTTTCTATCTAACAATAAGCATTATTTTAAGAACATTTGCGATAACATGCGATACGAGTCATCAACGTTTTAAGAATATTATTTGCGTCATCGTTAAAATCATTCTCATTTTAAATCGGTTGAGAACCATTGCCTTGCTTTTATAGAAACTCACACGTTTGTTTTCCTCATAATCTTTGTCGAGAATCATGTTTCTTCGAATATTTATAATCTTTTCCTTTCTATATTATCCAAATATATCGAATTTGATAACCCTTTCTCCCTCACTCTGTTAAAGGATTAATTCAAATTGTAAAGAATTTGATCATCGAGAAGTTATTTCGAAAAAAAAAAAAATAAAAGAAAGAAATCGTTTTTATATTTTTAAACATTATATATTTTTCTTTTTTTATTACATAAATATTATTAAATAATAGTAGTAATTTTTGTTAAAATAACAAACGAACAGATGAATTTAAACAAAAAGGTGTTTTGTGTGTCTTCTTGTAGAATGATACGTAATCGTGATAGTATTATAATCATGATAGTAATTATTCTCAACATCCTTGTAGAAAATTACAGACAGTATTATTTTTTTCTTTTGCTAGCCGGAAAAACAAGACAGGTCCCGGGTGACTTTGTAGTTTGCAACGGGCCATTAGATATTATCGATACGTTTCGATACGCACCGTTCGTTTGTAATCTCTCTGATGTCATTTGCTCGGTACCAGAACAAACAAGACACATTGCATTTAATGAATGAGAACAATATTATGATATCAATATGTAAAAATGATTTATTTATATATCGTGTAATGTTTCCTTTTTTTCTTTTTTTATATATTGTTATAATATTCTTTTTTTATCTTCGATAAGAAGAAATCATTTCAAATAATAATATACTTATTTTTGTTTGAATTAAATCAATCAGTTAAGATCATTATCATAAATTCCGAAAAAAATATGATGAAAAAGTTTATTCATTATTATACATCTTAAAGATATATAATATACATGAATGACTGAAACGATATTTATAACTATGTGTGTGTGTGTGTGTGTGTGTGTGTTAATTTTATATGGAAATTTAAATTTATAAAAAAAAAGTTAAAAAAGTTAAAGTTATTTAAAAAGTTTATCTTAATAAATGAATCCTCTATCATTTATCTTAATTATAGTACAAATATTTTCGATAAAATACATCATCTATCATACATATTTTACAAAATATGATCTTTTGATAAAAAGGTTATCATTTTACTTATCATATGTGTTTTATATATATAATTTTCGTTAATATTTCGTTTACAATGAAAATGAAGTTAAAACGTATAAGACGTGCATTTGAACTATATATAACCAGTTGACTTGTCAGTTAACGATAAACTCAAAAGTGACCGTATGTAATTATGTAGGTCATTAGGATTTCTTATCCGACTGGGTAACTATAGCCAAGTATTATCTCATTTCACAGTCTCTGTATACTTTATTGTTAACAATTCCTATTTTTTCTTTCGTTGTAGTCATGCGATTGCACCTGATTGTGTATATTAGGTTAGATCGTTTTAGAAAGTACATATAATATATATAATACATATGGTTTATATAATCTTACAAATTATATACTATTTGTATTTAAGCATGTTGTCTTTAGAACGTTGTTACGTGTATATATATATATATACTACATAATATAAAAATATGTGACTTGTGTTACGTTAGAAAATATTTGATTGTTGACAGGATTTGTAATGCTTTTCTATCAAATCGAATGCATGTTGGAAGTCACCTCGATAAAACCGGTTCGACGTTCGCTCGGTTTGAAACCCGTTGCCCGTGCGTGATCGAATTCTAAAATCAGTAGGATTTTTAAAAATACAAAATATGATTCTATAATTCGAAATAATATACGTATTTTAGTATATATAATTAACAATTTGATTTTTTAAATTTTTACAGATTTTGTGATACAGGTCATTACAAATAACAAATTTGTTAATTCCACAAAACAAAAGGTGGATAAATGATACATTGTCGTATCATCTATTATTGAATAAATGACCATAAAAATGATACTTCTTTAGTCATTTTAAGCTTAATTATTTAGAACATTTATTTTCAATAAAAAAAATTAAGTTAAGTATTAATAGAATATTTTGGATTTCAAGAATTGTTTGAATCCTGAAAATTCCAACTTATGTTTAATCAATATCTCAAGTATAGGAAATAGCAAAATTCAGATGAAAGTATGTTTTGATATCATAACAATAATCTTGATCAGTAAAATGATAACTAATCTGATTAGAAATAGAACAAATATTTATATTTTTATTTTAGTATGAATGTAGTGAATGCTTTTTTATTATCGTAAACATCGATTACTCTTCTAATCTTGATATTTATTAAATTGCATCACAAAACAGGAAAGTAATTAATTAATCGATCCTGATTTTCTTTTCGATAATCTTTTGCAAAATTAACAAGAGAATAATTACCTAGTTTATACATCATATAATTTCATAATCATTTATCGTTATATATATATATATATAAAGAATTCTCGGTTGGGTGTTTATCAGGGTCGACGACGTTTTAAAGCGGTGAAAGTGAAATTCTTCCTTTGGTCTCTACCGTGTTTCAACGTTTCGATTCTTCGCGTTTTCGTGTCCGTTCACTATTTAACGTTTCAACTTTACCTATGCAAATATATGTATACGTGTTAACGTGACATCGGTTGTCTCTTTCGATTTCCAATATGTTTATTGTAATTGATAGATAGAATAATGAATGACAATTAAGTACAATTGATCAGTTAATTTATCGATACTCTCGATAAGAATTTTGATTATAATTTAACACACGAGAAAATTCAGAAATGAATAAATAAATAATAAATTATAAACAAGTTTTTAACATAAGTTAATATTAAACGTATCATTTGATCAATCAAATGACTGGTTGTCAATTTTTTAGATAAATTTTTTTACGAGTTAATTGTGCTATTTGGTGAGTTAAAAATTCTTATTGCATAAATGGTATATTTTTTACTATACATATATATAATAAAATATATGACTTTATGAAGATGGATCATTTGATCCGTTGTGGTAGAAACAGGTGTATCTATGAAGCTATATACGAACTATATATATAAATTCGTATTGAAGGTATTATACGAAGATATTAAAATCATATTATTTATTTAAAATATATATATATTAAAAGAAAACATTTTGTAAAAGTATTGTAAAAAAAGAAGTTGACGAATTTAAATTTAAAAATGAGATAGATACGAGAGTTTAAACACCGTGTTTAAAATAAATTTAACCAAAAGTTTGATCGATAATGTCACGTGGAAAGCAACGGAGAAAACGGTTCTTGATTTTGTTTGATTCTACCAGTAGAGTGTAGCACGTAGTCGTATAAACGAGAACGATGTTAAGAAAACGGGTTAAGTATCCGAAAGGCTGGACGTTGCTGCTCGACGAAAATATCAAGAATGTGGAACGCGTGATTTTCGATCCCGAAACTCAAAGGAAACTGGGCTGCACGGTCGGCGAGTATGTCTTTTTGGAATACCCATGGGTATACGTTTCTCGTGACGACGTTTTAAGACTTTCTAATAAAATAGGATCATGTTTGGAACCATACAAAGATCAAATTTCTGCTTATAATGGTACATGCTTTTTAATTGGTTACAATTCGACCGAATTGTATTCCGATCAATTTGTTATCTGTCTTACCGAAGAAACTAGAGATGCTGTTTATCAAAGAAACAAAAACATTTCTAAAGCTATTTTAAATGGCGTTCATCAACAAATAGAAAAAATTCCAAAATGTTGGAAATCGTTAGGCAGCGAGGATGATTTGGAAAGTTCAGCGAAAAATACAAGAGAATTGTTAGAAATTGAGATAAATATACCAACTACGTTGTTAGGCTTGAATCGTCAAATTTCTGATAGAAATTCTGATGAATCCAGAGATAGTTACATCGACTTAATACCATCTGCCAATGAAACGTTTGATAACATCGCTAAGTTTCTCGTTTCTCGTTCAACACAGACACACCTTCAACCTCGAGAAATTTTTGTTCAAACGTATCCTGGAAATCCTAGAAATGCTTGGACTCAGTACGTATACGAAGATACTTTAAATGGTAAATTATTCGATCTGAATGATGTTGAGAATGTCGATAAATCTTTGGACGAAACTGTACAAAGTAATGATGATAATGAAGAATTAGAAGAAAAGAGAAAGGAAGAGAATAAAATAGAAATTGTTAGAGAAAAAGAACCTATTGAAATATTTTTAGAAAAATATTCGGAACAAATGATAGACGAGATCAAATACAATGCTGTTGTAAACCTTTATGTAGATGATATCAAAAATTTGAACAAAAATAAACAAGATATGATGAAATCTATGGAAATACCAATGTGTAAGGAGTATCAATTTTTTATAAATTTAAACATAATCAAAAGTAATATTATATCCGATATTTCTTGGCATCCAAAGATAATGGACCTTGCAATAGTATCTTACATTAGATCATCCAATATAATATCGACTTCGGATTACGATTCAGGTGCGTTACTTTGGTCATTGTCCGATACTCTTAGACCATTATCGTATCTACGATCTAACGAGGATGTTCATTGCATTTCTTTTTGTCCTTTACGAGAAAACATCGTTATAGGAGGTTGTGAAAATGGTCAATTAATCGTTTGGCATATACCAGACGAAATAATCAACTTTGCTAATACTACGAATAATAATTGCCAATCCAAAATATTCGAATTACCTAATCAAACAAATGTACCTATTGTAAACGTGACAACAAGGTCAGAAAAAGATTCTTCTCATAGTTCGTTAATTCGAAAAATCAAATGGATTCCAGTAAAATTTCGAGCTGAGTCAAATGGAAAATTTGTTGAATCTTTAAACAACGTTAACAATTGTCAATTGATGACAATTTCATTGGACGGTATTATCATTATTTGGACTATTGATTTGTCTTCGAATTTATTAAACGATTGTTTAAAAGTAATTTATAAATTGTTTCTACCAATACCAAACGATAGTAGAAATTTTACGCTTCTTTGTGTATCTATTTCTTTGGAAAGTTTAATGGAAGAAGAAAAATACAACAATGCACATCGAGAAGTTAAGGAGTTCGATAAGAATGGAGAAGAATATACTACACGGAGATTATGGTTGGGTACCGGAGAAGGGGAATTGGTGCGTTGCACCTGGGAAGGCCAGGTGTTCGACGTGGGGATGTCAGATTCCGAGAAGTGTAACTTCCTCGATCGTTCCTTTGCTCACGATGGTCCCGTTATTGAAATCGTTCGTTGTCATCGTATGTTGGAAGTTATTTTAACGATCGGCGGACACATTTTTGCCATTTGGCACGAAAATTATTCCGAATCACCGATTTTTTGGAGAAAATCTAAAGCCGTTTATACCGCTTGTTGTTGGTCTTGTAAACCTGGTGTCTTTTTGATGGGCAGAAATGACGGTGAATTAGAAATTTGGGATATCAAGCGAAAAAATTGCGAACCAATTTTCGTTAGAACTATTTCGGATGGACCATTAACTGTATTATCTTTTTGGAAAGAAACAAAAGTATCGTCCGGTTTAATTGGAATTGGCGATGAAAAAGGTATATTTCGTGTATTTAAAGAACCATGTATGTATTCAAACGATGCTGAGTGTATGAATTGGTTTGAGGAATACATATTGAGAGAAGTTAAAAGAAAAAAGATTTTTACCGAATGGCAACACGAATTTCTCGAGACTAATCCAATTGCCATTGAGAAAAAATTGAAGAAAGAGGAGGAAGAACGTAAGAAAAGATTAGAAGAAGCTAAAGATAATCTTCAGAAGGAATATGAACAGAGATTGAGATTGGAAGCGGAAAAAAGAGCATTGAAAGCACCAAAATCTAAAGAAACTATTTGGAAATTGAAGGAACAAAAACGAATGAGAAGCGTTATATTAAAAAAAAAGGGTTTTGTTCCTGACGAATTGGAGAAAAAAAAATTGCCATTGGTTCGTTTAGAAGAAGAAAAACGTTTAAGGTTGCAAAAAATCGAGAATGAAGTTAATATTCGTGATAAATTTTATGAAGATATCGTAACCCTTCAGATTCCTGAATTGTCAAATTCTTTTCAACGAATGAATACAATTATTGACGAAAATGTCGACGATGAAAAAAAAGTAGAAACTAATATAGAAAAATATGTGCAACAATATTGCAATATCAGAGACGATGTTCGTAAAATATTGGCCGAGAAACTGGATCGAAATATTTTTTGATCAAATGGAAATAAATTGGTAAAGGTGTCGATATTATCAAAGAATTTTTTTTTTTTTTTTTTTTTTTTTGTTACGATTCATTCATTTCATTTTACTTTATGTAAAATTTATGAATTAGAATATATACTAATTATAAAAAATAATTTTATTCGTAATATCAAATTTTTTGAATAATTTGACAATGTTGTTGTATTATTATGTTTTCAGGGTCTTGGAATAATATGTATGGCATGTGTTTCACCGGCATACGCTGGTGCATCTCATTGGTTCTTATTCGTGGCAACAACAGCATTTATTATCACACTTTTGTGGGTTTTCATTTATCTTCTATCGATAAGGGAAGTACTTAAAATTCCCATCAACTGGATATTAACGGTAAGCATTATCGAATCTATATTACAAAATTTTATTTGAAGAACATTAATATAAGGTTACAATATATGAAATGTTTCTTTGTTTTTTTTTCAATTTTACATATTTAAATGCAATATATTTTTATTTTTTAGGAGCTGTTAAATACCGCCGCTGATACAGTGCTTTATATGATAGCATTTATCGCTCAACTCTCTCTTTGGAGTGCTGTAATTAATAGTCCACACAGTACCTCGAATATCGTTGGTGGCGTATGTATACATTTACATATATAAATACTATATACTATAATAATATATAAATACATATATATATATATANATATATATATATATATATATATATATATATATATATATATATATATATATATATATATTAAATCGAGTAAAGTCATCAAAGTTAGAACTATCAAACCAACCGAAATAAAAATTTGAGATTTTTTATTTTACAATTATTAAAAATATAATTATTATTAACTTATACAAATGATAAAGAAAATGTTCTTTTTTTTAATTACCGGTTAAAGTGATAAAAATAATTAGATAAAGAGTTCTAGCGTTTTAAAAATTATTCATTATCGCGTATCATGTATATTTTTCAAAATATTTCCCAACAGTTAATTAATATTTAATTCTTAACGAACGAAACGTCATTTTATTATAATGAACGGTTAAACTAGGATATTTCGTTATCTGAAATTTCGACAAAAAATTTGTTACACATTAATTATACTCGAAATGACAACAGTACATTTTTTAAAACGCAAGAAAATATTTTTCAACATGGAGAGAAATTATAGTGACTTACTCGATAAATACATAGTTATATATTACGTATCATTTAGATAAAATTCAGGGATAAGAAAATCTATTTTGATACTAACTATAACGTAAAAACTTCCAGTATTATTATTTTTGTGGTTTCCTTTGAAATGCCAGTTCACTTTACATTAATATTACTACTACTACTACTACTATACTAATAAATGATTGTTAAATTACATATGAGAGAGAGAGAGAGGTATAATCTTACTAGACTTACACAATACATCACAAGACATGATCTCACGTTAAAGATATTGTTCTATTAATTGCACTCTTACAATTAGTTTATATTTTGTTCACACCTGTCGTTGAAGTATCTCTCACACGCGACCACTTTCTACGAAAAAATATGATGAATCAACGATTGTGTTATCTGTTAAAGATTAATTAAAATAATTGTATTAATATTTATTTATTTTTTTTTCAGGTATTTGGTATTCTAAACACTCTAGCGTATGCAGCAGGTACTTACTTTCTTTATATCGAATGGAAAAGTAGTGGTACGCAATGAGAAAAAAGGAACAACGATATTTTCAAGAAGATAAGCCCAGGTACCTGAAGAACACGTACAACGGCGACAATGCTACATTAGAAAGTCGGGCTCGTAAATTTTTAAGAAGTTTTTCGTTCACAAAACAAACAAAACAAGAAAAAAGAAACACCAAAATGTGTTTCCAGGATTGTTCGTTCGTTCGTTCGTTCGGCTTCGTACAACTCCAGGAATCATTTACAGTTGAAGAAAGGAAAATGGGGGCAAGGGGGTAGGGTCAGAACTAGTCCTGCAAGTCCCAAAATCGTTTCTTCAACACCGATCGTTTTTTTTTTTTTTTTGTAGTCCGAACTCGAAGGAAATAAGAAGAAGAATAACTTTTCTTCTACCTGATATCAAAACACGTGCCTTTTTTCAATTGAAAGAAATAAATAATAAACACATTTTTATATATTGCTTTTCCTTTTCGCATGTCTGCCTAAGATTCGTCGAGGGATACTTTTGTTTCTTTTTTTTTTTTTTTTTTTTTTCCTACCGTCCAGTACACGATATCGAATATATATTTAATATCAAACACGTGATTACAATTTAATATATATATATATTAATAAAAATATACGAATTATTATTATCGAAAATAAATTTTATATAATTATTATTAATAATAATAATAATAATAATAATGATAAGAAGAAGAATATATACGATAAAAATAAACTAAATAATTTAGAAAATATTAATGCGTATATTTCAGAAAAAAAAAGATCTTTGCAAATGAAATTTTGCAAAATTTCATATTATAAAAGCGTTATTACAAATTTTTGATATTTTTAATGATAATTATAATAAATTCTTCTTCGTGATGAATCAGAGATACGAGAAACGTCATATTTTCTAAAAAGAAGAAAACAAGGAAAAGAAAAAAAAAAACAAAGATGATGACGGTCTATTTCTTTTATAACCGGTATTATTATCATGTCTAGGAATGACACATCGATTATCTACCTGCTGCGTCGTTGTTGTATAGACGAAATTCGTATTCGCCGAAAGAAATAATTTGCATATTTAAAATGAAAGAACAATATGATCACGTATTTTATATAAAACATCTTTTTCTCTATCTCTCTCTCTCTCTCTCTCTCTCTCTCTTTATTTCTATTCCGATTTCTATATATCGTTCACCAATATAAAATTATATACATGCGAAAATACATAGTTTTCCAGTTGTAGTATTTTTCACTATTTATATATATATATATATAGTATAGTTTATATATACACATACATACATACAACATACATATATACACATGTACGTACATATATACATATATAATATATAGAAAATGATATAAATGTATATGTATAGATAATCGTATGTTTTTGTCCACAGAACAAATTTATTATAATAAATCTTATTATTATTTTTTTTTTCTTCTAATTCGTTAATTAACAAATAATCTTGCGTTCGTTTAAGTAAATATGTCAAGCTTATTTTCTTTTTTTAATTTTACAGTCAATCGTTAGGGCATCCTTTAGGAAAAATCAAATCAAATGCCGATGATATAATCAAATGTTCATGTATAGAAATGATATATTATGTACTTGAGTTAAATAATCGATATTTATCGATATTTGATATCTCCCGTGTTATATATACTAAGAATAGTGTATTTGTTTGAATAGATTAATATATTGCTTTTTGTGTTTTTTACAGTTAATATGAATTCAATTGAAATATGTACATTGTATATGAAACATATAAATGGTGATTAAAATAATATTACATTATATATGTAATGTATATTTATATATATATATAATGATTAGAAAAAAAAAAATTACATTATATATATATAATATTTTCTTACTGATAAGAGAGACGAGAAGACCGGAATTATTTGTCAAGGTTAGCTAATCGATAGTACATCCCCTCTTCTTTTTTCCCTCGACCCTTCTCACGTTCATTCATAGATAAAATGAAAAAGAAAACAAAAAAAATAATCAAAGAAACATACATCTAACGATGCATTTACATGTCAAGAAATGATATTTCCTTCTTATTGTTATTATTTTGTTAAAATATCGAATTAATATTTCGATGTACACAAATAAATATATATATATATAACATTAATTATGTATCATTTTACAAAGTACGATAATAATATATATATATATATACCATTATTGTAGATTTGAATTTTTTTTTTAATTTTGAAATTTTATTTATTTTTTAAATACATGAATATGAATGATAAATAAAAGGATGCAAAAATACATGAAAAAAAAAAAAAACAAAAGAAAAAACTTGTACGTTTAATTAATTTTATATATTTTACATATATATATATAAACTTACGTATGTATATCATCAAATTGTTTACTTATAGTTTTTTTTAAGACAAAAGTATTGAGAACCACTGGTATCTCTTTCATTGCTACGATACGCACACTTTCTTTTAATAAACTTGTGTGGGTGTGTGTGATATCACGAATGACATCACCCTTATGTATCAGTGTTAGTGGTACGGTTTGAAACTCACAAGGCGTGCTCGCACTTCAGTCATTCGCAGACGTTCATCCGACCATCATTGTATACCTTTATCGAGGTCAGTCGAATTGTCGGTTTAATTATATTTTTGTTTTCTTCTTTTGGCAGCTTTTATTTATTTATTTATTTTTTTTTTTAATTTATTTCCTTTTTTTTCCCTTTGCTTCTTATCAAACAAAATTAGTGATATGCATAACAATTTAATTGTATTATGTAGAAAAATGAGTATATATGCTTGTGCGCTACGTATGTGTGTGCGTGCGCGTGCGCGTGCGCTGAAGCTTAAGTTGCTAACGTGTTTATTGTTAAAAATGATTCATTTCTTATCTGTTGAGAATATTATTTTCGTCTAACAATCTTATTATGGTTTGTTTTTTCTCTTATATATATATACTTAAAAAAAAAAACGTTGATAATTTTAATTTCTTTTTTCTTTTTTTTTTTTTTTCTTACCGTCGTTACGTTAAATGAGATTTGCAAACGAATATGATAAATTATATTTAGTTAAAAAAAAAAAAAAAAGATCAAGATAATATCTTGCTAAAATATCTTTATCACGGATTTTATTATTATTCCTTAAAAAAAAAAAAAAAAGGAAATAATTATTTTTAAAAATTGCCTAAGTTTATTATTCGCGTTCTTTGACGTTAGGATATTTAAAAATAACCACTGACGGAAAAAACTTTTACACGTTTTAATACTTATACACATGGAACTCATGTCGACGACGTTTCACAATGTTTCTTAAGAAATGTTGTGTATTTTTGACATTTTCTTAATGAGGAACATCATCGATAGAAAAACGAACCTATATTGCCAAATACAAACATACTCGCGTGGGATTCAAGAAACTTTTACGTATTTTCCATGAAACTTATGCGTCATAATCTCTAAACAATTATACGTATTTAGAAATCTTTTCCAGATATTAATCAGATAGGAAGTGGTATACATTATTTGCAATTTAATCTTATTTATCTAAAATAATATGAAATATCTCTTTTTAAATTGTGACAATTATGATTCACTTGTTATTTATAACAATTTATAATTTACTTAAAAATATCGATTTAAGGATAACTCAAATTTTGCACAAAAATATTATTCAAATATTTTCATAAAAATTTATTCACATTTTTTATTTTTTGTTTTTTTATTAATTCTTTTTACGTTATATATTTATCGTATTTATACTAATATATTTATCATATATATTAATTATATAGATATATAATATTATATATATATATATATATATTAATATATTTAGTTTATTTATTTAAATAGATTTTTTCGTTTGTTTAAATATTATGCTTGCTTTTATATTTAACAATAATTATAATTAGTTGTAATCATTTTGGTAGTTATGCTGGATCCTGGAGTTATTTAAAATATATATGTATATGTTGTATATACATATATATATATATAGATTTTGATAACCTCGGAGAAACCATGACCGAAATACGCTTGATGAATATAAAAGGTGTTATTTTTGCTGCATTACTCATACATGTGATATTCATTATTAAAAATAATATCGTTATTTATTTGTAATTATTATATTGCTTATTTATTTTTTTTTTTTTAATTTTATTTTCAAGGTACCATCATAATAAACAGTCATGTCTCATTCAGTAGTAATCAGGACGCAAACAGTGAGGACCGAGTCAACTGCAATAGTTATTAATACGGGATATTTAAAAACTTGGAGTGGAATATTAAAATTCTTGCAACTAGTATGCATTTATACATATATATATATATATATTTTTATTATTGTGTTGTGTTGTCATATCATATAAAAGATCATCTTCTTTTTTTTTTTTCAATTTTTTAATACGTTATTCATTTTAATATTATTTTCCTAGGCTTTGGGAATTGTATGCGTAGGAATTATCGGTGATCAATTTAAACCTGGATATTATCGCACAACTACAGATTTATTTTTCTTTTTAATAGTAACAACGTTTATGATAGGTACTTTCGTTCTATTGTTAAGCTGTTTGTGTTCTCTATCAACATCATCTATAATATCAAAAACGATATATGTAAGTATCTAAAAAAAAAAAAAAAAAATTAAAAAAAATTATAGAATATTTCTGTTTGTGAGAATAAAAATTCAATAATAAAAATAATAATAATAAAACAAAATTCAATGATTTTTTTCAGGAACTTTTTTATCATTCAATAGCATTCGGTCTCGTACTATCTGCGGCTCTGTCATTATTGGTACAAGTTAATAAAACAAATGATAGAAATTATGAATTGTTATTAGGTGCAGCTGTAAGTGAAATAAAATATATATTACGTTATATGTGCCCATAATTATGAAAGTGGTCTCTAAGTCATGTATCTCTTGTTTCGAGTAGGGACCCTATAGGAGGGACGCGCCATGTACATTGCTAGGCTGAAAATGTGGGGGGACAGCTTCCGTTGCATCCCGCAGCCATGTTTATCTTTAGTA